CACACTAACATACATATTCACAAAATTGTACATATTTTTCCTGAGTGGTAAATGCCAGAAAAAGTGTCTCTTCACCAAAATTAAGGATTGTGATAATGTACTGTGCATTGCACAGTACATGAAATATCTTGTATAATACTAGTCAAGGTTCTTTGTTTAGAATTTAAAAATTGCAAAAATAAAAAACATTACCGGTATTCTTTACTGAAAATTAAGTTAAATTATATGGAGTGATGATCATGAATGAGTGTTTGAATAAAACAAGAGGCCCATGGGCCTTAACGGTCACCTGATATATTTATACAGAGAGTTGATTTTGTTCTTAACATGAACAGAAATATTATTCAAAGTGACAAAAAACAATAAAACCACCTTACTCAATATCTAGCATACAGATTTCAGACTTAAAAGGATTTGAAACTAGCACCTCTGATTCTTAACAAGTAAAATGAAGAAATTTTAGCACACTGACTCCTTTGAGCTCCACCCTACAGCCCTTGGGGGTAGGGCTGGCTCAAAATTTTCAAAGTATCAAACTGTCAATTCAAGGTTATAATTCCAATCAAGGTATTAACATGTAATATTCAAAGTATCATTTGCCATTATAAACCATAATAAATTTTGCCCCCCCCCCCTCCTTCCCCCGGGGGAAAACGGGATACCCTAGGGTCATAAACCTTAAGACCCTTCCATCTATGCAGAGTATTTGATTCTACCATATCTGGGTCTTGAGAAGAAGAATTTTGAAATTTTAGTCAATTTTACCCTTTTTGGCCCTGCCCCTCAGGCCCCTTGGGGCTTAGGACTAAACCGGCAACTACTTTTGTTGACCTTTGTCCATGAAAGGTCCCTGCAAAATTTAATTGAAATTGGTTAAGGGTTTTGGAGAAGAAGTCGAAAATGTAAATTGTTTACGGACGCACGACGGACGACGCACGACGACGGACAAAAGTCGATCGCAATAGACTGAAAATTAAGTTAAATTATATGGAGTGATGATCATGAATGAGTGTTTGAATAAAACAAGAGGCCCATGGGCCTTAACGGTCGCCTGATATATTTATACAGAGAGTTGATTTTGTTTTTAACATGAACAGAAATATTATTCAAAGTGACAAAAAACAATAAAACCACCTTACTCAATATCTAGCATACAGATTTCAGACTTAAAAGGATTTGAAACTAGCACCTCTGATTCTTAACAAGTAAAATGAAGAAATTTTAGCACACTGACTCCTTTGAGCTCCCCCCTACAGCCCTTGGGGGTAGGGCTGGCTCAAAATTTTCAAAGTATCAAACTGTGAATTCAAGGTTATAATTCCAATCAAGTTATTAACATGTAATATTCAAAGTATCATTTGCCATTATAAACCATAATAAATTTTGCCCCCCCCCCTCCTTCCCCAGGGGGAAAACGGGATACCCTAGGGTCATAAACCTTAAGACCCTTCCATCTATGCAGAGTATTTGATTCTACCATATCTGGGTCTTGAGAAGAAGAATTTTGAAATTTTAGTCAATTTTACCCTTTTTGGCCCTGCCCCTCAGGCCCCTTGGGGCTTAGGACTAAACCGGCAACTACTTTTGTTGACCTTTGTCCATGAAAGGTCCCTGCAAAATTTAATTGAAATTGGTTAAGGGTTTTGGAGAAGAAGTCGAAAATGTAAATTGTTTACGGACGCGCGACGGACGACGCACGACGACGGACAAAAGTCGATCGCAATAGGGCACTTGAGACTTTGTCTCAGGTGACCTAAAAAATCCTTCTGAAGGTTATCTTACATCATTACAACAGACACAAGGTATATATATATGTGCAAAGACATTGTTCTCTAAAGGTTTTAACTAGAACTGTAAGCCAAAGGCTAACTAATACCTTCCACTCTTATGTTAACTAGAACTGGCTTACTAAGGCAAAGCATTACAAAGCAATCCATAGTCTCCCACCAGTAGTGATTTCTTTATTGACTGATCATGAGCTGTACACTTATTTAAGTATATAGGTCACTGACATACTTCGTGTTATCCCTCTCAATACCATACTTGCAAACCAAATCTTGTTAGCAAAGATGAAAGAGTTTTGCTGGAATCGTCCTAGTAGTTAAGGAAGAGATGTCAGGACAAATATTTTTAACAAAGGGCAATAATTCCTTAAAAAAGCATCGAAGTGAAAAAATACTACCCTGATGCATGACATCAAAGGGTAATTACTATATCTGTAAACTTTCATTGTAATCCACCCAGTAGTTTAGGAGGCAGACAAAAGTGTTTTCAACAAAGGGCCATAACTTCTTTTAAAAGGGTTGAAATGAAAAAGTACTACTTGGATGCTGACGTCAGGGGACAGTTACCATATCTGTAAACTTTCTTTTAAATTGGTTCAGTAGATTAGGAGAAGTTGTCAGGACAAGGATTTTTCAACAAAGGACCATAACTCCATAAAAAAAGGGTTGGAAAAAAACTATCTGGATGCACAACTTTAGGGGGTAGTTATCATATCTGAAAACTTAAGTTGAAATTGGCCGCATAGTTACGGAAGAGATGTCAGGACAAAGATTTTTAACCAAGGGCCATGACTTCTTAAAAAGCATCGAAATGAAAAAATACTACCCTGATGCATGACATCAAGGAGTAATTACTTAAATATCTGTAAACTTTCATTGAAATCGGCCCAGTAGTTTAGGAGGCAGACAAAGGTTTTTTCAACAAAGGGCAAAACTGAGGAGTTGTTTGGACAAGTATTTTTCAACAAAGGGCATTTATTCCGTAAAAACTGGGTCAGATTGAAAAAAATAATACCTGCATGCACATTAGGTAGTAGTTATCATATCTGAAAACTTTCATTGAAATTGGCCCCTCAGTTTAGGAGAAGTTGCGCGGGCAAGCATTTTTCAACAACGGGCCATTACTCCATAAAAAAGGGTCAGATTGAAAAAAAATTTACCTGCATGCACAACATCAGGTGGTAGTTAACATATCTGAAAACTTTCATTGAAATTGGCCTCCTAGTGGAGGAGTTGTGCAGGCAATCATTGTTTAACAAAGGGCAATAACTCAATTAAAAGGGTCAGAATTAAAAACAAAAGGCCCAGGGGGGGGGGGGCCTGTATCACTCATCTGTTTCTTTTGTTACATGAAACTGACATAAAGGTAACTTCAGACCAAAGTTGGTAACTAGAACAGAAGACATTTTAACATCTCTTAAACGGTTCTGAAGACATTGTTGTTTGAAATTTGAATGTTAATCCTTTTAACCCACATTGACCTTTGACTCCGGCTAGCACTTAAAGTTGACCATTGACCTCATTACTGTAATAAAGAAAAGGATTCACACAGCTGGTCTTCATAACATACACAAGTATCATGACTCTAGTCCAACTTGAGGAGAGGATTGTTAAAGTGTTTAACCCATGTTGACCTTTGACCCCTGACTATCACTTAAAGATGACCTTTGACCTCATTACTGTAATGAAGTATAAGATGTGCACTGCTGGTCTACATAACATGCACAAGTATCATGACTCTAGTTCAAATGGTTCTTGGATATTGTTGTTTTAAGTTTTTACCATATTTGACCACTGTGACCTTGAAAATAGGTCAAGGTCATTTTAATGAGGAAACTTTATAGCACTCCATCCATTGTACTTACTGGCCAAATATCATGACCCTAGGTCCTCCAGTTCTTCAGAAGAAGTCGTTCAAAAGAAAAAGATGACGGACAACCTTCGGCCCAGGTGAGCTAAAAATAATACCTGGACGCACAATATCAGGTGGTAGTTATCATATCTTAAAACTTTCCAGAAATTGTTCCAAAGCTTTAGAAGAGTTGTCCGGATTTAAAGTTTCAGGATTTGTTCAACAAAGGCCCATGGCCCATAGGTTTGTTAAAAAGGGTCAGAATGAAAATGTACAACTTCAGGTGGTATGTAGTTGTGTGGAAAGTTTCGTTGAAATTGGTCCACTACTTTAGAAGGAGTTATCCGGAAAAACTTTTTCTATTGACGAACAGATGATCGGAAGGACAAGCTGATTCAAGAATATCCACCACCCCCCTAACTTCATTGTGGGGGGTATAAAAAGGGGATATTAGCATTGTTGTATAGGCAGAAATTGAAAACCTAAGGGGTGGGAGGTTGGAGTGAGGGTGGAGAGGAGTACCGATCCCTCACTCAACTCCTCTGGAGAAAACCACTAGTGCATCAATTCAGGTCTCAGGATTAAATGTTCATGTGGGAAGGGAAATAATCCAATGTATGTCAATGGAAACAGTAATACATGTTGTTATATAACAGTGTAGCTGGCCAGTAGGCTGATTTTTTTTATATTCCTGAGCTTTGTTCACTACACGTAGATGAAAATGACAATAAAACATCATTTATATTACATAAAACAACAGGAATGGCAGTAAAACCATAGGTAAATTAACCCCGAAAACCATTGGCATAGGCTTCCGGTGTTTGTCAAAAACTCAAAAAGTATTTCTGACAGCTAAATTACTAAACAAATGTTTCAATGCACTGCTTATCCTGTATTAACATGTCATTGCCACAGCCTTATAGTAGTTTACAAATGACTTGCTGTGATTACAAAAATTATGCAAAACTATAAACAAAAGCCTGCAAGACAATTTAAAACCTTTAAGTCTGAGAAACTCAAGACAGGTAGGAAAACTTCCTTTCCATATGACGAATAAGCATCTAACTTTTGCTTTAATTTTGCATTTATACTTAATTACTTAATACATTATCTACTGTACATATTCTGTAAAATTATCTAAATCCATTTTCTCTATGCAACTAAATCAGAACTAATGTAGTTTCCAAACAGGAAGTCAGGTGAGCATGGAGTGAATCATGCATGCCATGATGGATGTCCCATACGAGACACCCATACCCTATAAACCTGTGGGAGAAGAAAAAATGTCTTTTGCGTAAATCAAAAAGAAAATATGGACCAAATAAAATATCTGCAGACTTGCCAGGTTGTATGGTAACACTTACAGACTGAAGGTACTTGAGCTCAGCTCGGCACTTTTTTTCCAGCTTCTGCATTCCTTTGATGTGCTGATATTGTTGACATTTCTGTATGAGGGTGTTTGCTTCCTGTAGATATGTTAGCAGAAGCTGGTCACAACTCTCTTCCTCTCCTATCCTGGAAGCCATTTCATTCCATTCACACTTGCACTTTTCGAAATCTACAATTCTGAAAAAAGTAACACTTCAAAATGACACCATGTTGAAGGATATTTTTGTGCATATATAATTATATACATGTACATATAGGATCTGACATGAGTTCCCATTTCATATGAGATTTATGAAACGACTCTTAAGAATTTTTCAATTTAGCAAAATTATCATATGAAATGAAAATGAGTGGCATTTATTCCTGTAAAGCGACAATTTGCATGCAACCTTGAGAAGTAAAAAGCCGCCATTTTGACTCCAATGCGCGAGTCTTTGACGTCATGTACTTGTCTTAGGCGTGACGTCACAATTGAAACAATTGAAACTTACAATCACAGGGTTGATATTACACGAGTTAATATGCAATAAAATATGACATTAGTATATTCACTGGATAACACATAACATAATGTAAGGGGAAACATTTTCATTGCTTAGCTCATATAGTTCATAATGAGCAAACCTGAGAAATGCACAGCCAGACCAGGGATCAAACTTTGGACCTCCCAAACTCTAGATAGATGCTTTAACCAAATGGGCTTTCTGGTCACTGGCAATTGACCCCAGCCCACTTGAGCTACCTTCCTTTCTCCTTCAATGAAGTATTCATCCCAAAGGACACAGGAAACCCTATACTGTACCACCTTCTATGGGTATATACTTCATCGAGTGCCAAATGTAACAGATGAAAAAAAATGCACAGCCAGACCTTGGGACCCCCACTCGGCATTCTGAACTCTTGATGAATGCTCTAACCAATCAAGCTACCTGGTCACCAGTAGAGTTCAGCTACATTTGTTAACATATGCCTGTGTATCATATTTGATAACTCAAGGTCAGACAGACATATGCCTGGTGTACATATCTTTCAAAATGTCATAAGTCTGGTGTTGGGGCCACAGGAAACTCAAGCTAAGTCAACAGTGCACATCCTTATTGAACAGAACAGTTGGTAAGTGACAGCTAATTAACGTCTTACGATGAATCAATAAATTCAACCAGGAATTCACTAATTTTTTATCAACACTCCGATTAGGGCCTAATAATGAAAAGTGTGTGCATTGTGCAAAAGTCATTCTACTATAGCTGAGAATTACCCTTCGGCTCTGTCAGTTCTGACTACATGTAAAGTCAGGCAGGTGTCATAAATGCAGTCCTTTTCTAAGTCTTCCCCTTGCCATATTATGCATACACCAAATGCTTGAAACAAGGGTTGGTCACAAGCACCACTGTAACAAGAGAGGAAAAATGCATGGCCAGACCGGGTTTCGAACCCCAGACTCTCCAAACTCTAGACCGACGCTCAACTAATTGAGATATCTGGTTGCAGACGATCAATCCAGTTCAGTTCCGCTACACTATGTCAGTGTTGCATAACAGCTTTTAGCAAGAGGGGATTTCCCTTTAAAAAGGAAAACGAAAAGGTCCCAGCGACTCACTATAATAAACATCAATTGTCAGTCAATTACAAATAAGGTCCCTGAGATCCATCAAGTTGTAGACCAACTAAAACCTGATATAATAATAGGAACAGAGTCTTGGCTAAAACCTGAAATTAGTAATACAGAAATATTTCCAACTGACAACTACAACATATATAGGAAAGGCCGTCCCGATAAAAAAGGTGGTGGTGTATTCCTTGCAATTACTAAAGAGCTTATATCAGAAGAACAACCAGAGCTAGATACTAATTATAAATGCGAAATAATTTGGGCAAAAATAAATCTCTCCGGTTTGAAGTCCATCTACCTGGCTGCCTTCTATAAACCAAGTGAAATTGACCCTGATAGCACTGCACAACTGGACCTGTCCCTCTAACGAGTCCCTAGAAATGCCCACAAGTGGCTACTTGGTGACTTTAATCTCCCTAAGTATGACTGGCAACAACAATGCTATAAAAATAATTGCAATACTGCACCCTATTCTGATTTCCTTACCATCATAGAAAATCACAACCTTGAACAATTTGTAAAAATACCTACTCGTAAAGAGAATACATTTGACCTCTTCTTTCTCAATCAGCCATCTCTTGTCCACGAAATTAGAACCCTACCAAGTCTTGGAGCTGCTGATCATGACATAGTTTTTCATGAAACCCTTGTGACTTTTGGCCGACAACGGAAACAACCACGTCAAATAAAGCTATATAATAAAGCTGACTGGGATGCCATTAAGACTGACCTAATTTCTGTCACTACTTTATATCTGTCGACCACCCATAATTCCACAACAAAAGAAAAATGGTCAATCATAAAAACTAAACTAGATAGTATTATCCAATTTCATGTTCCAACAAAAATGACCAAATCAAAGGATAACCTACCCTGGATAAATAAAGACATAAAAATATCTATCAGAAAACATGACAAACCTTATAAGAAAATTAAGAGCACTTCCTTGGCACACCAACCAAAACTACATCAGAAAATAAAACTTATTAAAACAGAAATTCAAAGAAAATATGGCAAAGTTATTGGGCTTATGTGGAATCAATTGTTATCGATGACTCTGAAAATATCGACAAGGCCAAACCAAGTGAAAAAATCTGGTCCTTTGTTAAACAAGAGGCCCATGGGCCTTAACGGTCACCTGATATATTAATACAGAGAGTTGATTTTGTTTTTAACATGTACAGAAATATTATTCAAAGTGACAAAAAACAATAAAACCACCTTATTCAATATCTAGCATACAGATTTAAGACTAAAAAGTATTTGAAACTAGCACCTCTGATTCTAAACAAGGAAAATGAAGAAACTTTAGCACACTGACTCCTTTGGCCCCACCCTACAGCCCTTGGGACTAGGGCTGGCTCAAAATTTTCAAAGTATCAAACTATCAACTCAAGGTTATAATTCCAATCAAGTTATTAACATGTAATATTCAAAGTATCATTTGCCATTATAAACCATAATAAATTTTGCCATCTACCAGACTCTATCACAAGCCAAGTTAGACCTTTTGCAGACGACACTATTGTCTATGTAACTGTTTCATCCGTCTCTGATGCAGAAACACTACAAAAAGACTAAAATCTTCTGGAAAAGTAGGAACAAAATTGGTTAATGTCATTCAACCCTGATAAATGTGAAATTCTACACATCTCAAAGAAAAGGCTGACACACAATTTAACTATATTCTCCATGGACAAATTATAAAGCAAGCAGATTCGGCTAAATACCTGGGCTTAACCATCACCAAAAACTTTTCATGGAACACCCACATCAATAACATTACAAACAAGGCAAATTCATCCCTAAGATTCATTCGGAGAAACATTAAAACCACCAATCTAAAAACAAAAGAGTTAGCTTATAAAACTTATGTCTGCATGCCCACACATTGAATACTGTAGCCCCATCTGGGATCCATGGCAGGCAAACCTTACCCATAAAGTTGAAATGGTGCAGAGAAGAGCCGCCAGGTACACCCTTGGGTGCTATAACTACACCAGTAGTGTTACAGAAATGCTCCAAACCCTGAACTGGCAATCCCTTGAACAATGCCGTAAAATGACCTCCACCATATAACTATATAAAATCATAAACAGCCTTGTGGCATATGATGGCAACCTCCAAATTCTCCAGCGAACCCGACAACAGTAATTCCAGATTCCACACAGCTCCACAAATTATCATGCAAATTCAATCTTTCCTAGAACAATGTGTACCTGGAACAGCCTCCCAACCTTCATCGCCGACAGTGCAGACCTCTCAACACTGAAGGCAAATCTCTCTCACAAATTCTAAGCATACTGTACATGTTGTTTTTATCATTAAGTTCTAAAAGATAAAAAAATACTTGTATTTAACCGATCTCTTTGACGCCTCTAAATAATGTTCAGTATATTGAACGTTTTAGAGTATCCTGTTGAAGTTAAGCTCTGTATAATAACTGAGTATTTAAAGGTTAAATGCTGAAAAGTAGGTACATTTAATTATGACAGACTTTCTTTATTTCTTTGTGATTTTATTTTAGTCTTTAACATGTGGACTTTGCAAACATTTGTGTGCAATCGGCATTTAAACTCTTTGGTAAATTGGGTAACCATACAGCAAAGAAGGCCCAACAGATCGAGCTATCTTTGTGGTCCTCACCGTCCTGACTCCTGTTTCTGTTACTTTCGGTAAACGAGATTTAGGTTAACAATATCAATATATCTACAAGTTCACGAAAAAACGGCCGTCTGCAAAAAACATAAGTATCTTCCTGATAACAAATAAGAAGTTAGAATTTTAAGAGGGAGAAGTTAATCAAAGCACAGCGGCGCATGTAAGCCCCTAGTCCTACAAAAAAAATGTTTCAGATCAAAGTTGTACGTGACATGCAAAAAGGAATGCATAGATCGTGGTACAGGTAAAATATGGATAATTTACAAACCAACCTGCTAAATTAAACTTAGAATTATTAGTAATTTGGCATAAACATGCAGACAATATCATGACGTTTCGCATAACATAGCTAACCTTATGGTTTGGTTAATCAAACGTTTTTGAGAATACGAGCTGAGTATCAAATACGCTTGAAATGGGTGGTAGGTAAATCTTGTACGCCGTTCCCGGTCCCGGACTAAAAACCCGTACCAGGAAGACGCGATCCCTTCTTTTTTTTTATCAAATTATACAATAATTTCAAACATTATTTTCTAAATGTGACATCACTACAAAAATGCTTTTTAATCATCTGATAATTTAGAATAAGTCCGCGTATATAGGGGGTAAAACTTGTACGCCGCAGTCAACCGTGAAAATTACCAGTTTTTACTAATTATCCGAAATATAGAGTTTAATGGCATATTAATTTCAACTCCACAAAACAGAAACGCATTATTGTTTGTAATTATATAAGTTCCAAAAAAAAAAAATCACATGAAATATCGACTTTTTTATGTTACTTACACACAAGAAGTTAACGAGCGTTCGGTGAACCAAAACTACATCTTATGGCGCAATGTTTAGGAGGAAACAATATGGTTTTAATTTTATTTAAAATACAATTTACTACAAATAAAAGTCAATTTTTGAGCGACTTCAATTAAAATAAATAATTTCATAGGAAAAGCCATATTGTTGATTAATACTCGACCCTGCTTTACTTGACAAAAAATAGTTCATATACTCACTTGATTTTGCCAACTATAAAGATCCATTTTTGCGTATGAGCACGCAATTAGATAAGTCCGTGGTATTAGTATGCAAGATTCGATAAAATACTGTATTTTTTTAATCCCGTGCTGTACGTGTTTTGGGATATGCATGATGTACTTGTTAATCCAGAGTTTGGTAATATTAAGTTATTTCTATTTAACAAATGATACGCGGGTTATTTTGGGGGTAAACAATCCATTAGTTAACCGAATAATCATCCTGTGGAGTTTGTGTCAAGATCCTAGGACGTAACAAGTAATTTCAAGGTAAGAGAAAAAAAAATGTGTCGTTAGCAAAAAGACAAGAGGCTGACTGAAAATCGTCTGCAATATTATTTTACTTATTGGAAAAAAATAACGCAATTTTTTGTTTTGACCTTAAACTTCACTATCTGTTAGCATGCACTTTATTTCTTTCCTTCAGAGTACACAATAGATACCCCAGTTTCTACAACTTGAATACAAATGGAAAAGGATCCGGATACAAGTTACGAAAACGTATATCGTTCCGTTTCCTTTCATTATTTGTTGATCAATTTCAGTGAAATTTGGTAGTACGGTTGAATTTCCTAAGTACTGCCATTTTGGGTGCTGGCTCAAATGCAATACCCAAATATATAGAATCTTGTCGTTCGCTTTTAACAAAATTGTCCATCCAAGCATCTGGGGAATGCTAACATGAGAAAAAACTTTAAACCCGTTCCAAAACAATTTTCTGATCTCTACATATACAGTGTGCGCCGCGAATATCTGAAGTGGAGAGAGGACGAGCTATAATTTTGCTAGGTCAATCACAACGTCGCGTCAACTATATACTGTCCGTTTAGTTAGTCACCTTAGGCTCATTAGACAATATTAACAGCAAGGCCGTCCATCAGTGAACGTCAACGCGTTACGCCGCGACGTCAGGAAATCTATTCCGTCTTTGCGTATTGCAGAATTATCTTCTCTTGGGAGCAGGTATTGATTGTTACGTCACTTGTTTGTGAGAGTAAAGTCATAAATTTTTGAGAAAACGACGTAATTTTCTCAAACAAACCAATGACGTAACAATCAATACCTGCTCTCAAGAGAAGATAACTCTGCAATACGCAAAGACGGAATAGCGATACTTTGATCTGGTCACCCCCGGAACAGTTTTCAAATGAGACGCAATTAAACGACAAACAACGCATGGTGTTCGTGAACGCCGAGTGTACCGATAACAGTCGTAAATCGTCAAGTTTAATTAAGCTATGGCGTCCTTGGGTTGGACCGCAACTTAATCAAAGGTGACGTCAACGCCATCTGCAATGGTGCCCCAAATGTGCATGTTTACTGATGAATCTCGTTTTGCACTTTTGCGGTGCGATGGCCGCCAACGTATCTACCGACGTTCCGGTGAACGATATGCAGATTGTGAAGAATGCCTATTTCGGTTTGGAGAGACATCCCTAATGGTGCGTAATTATAAGTTGTCATACAGGTGAGGGTAGTCTCCCAGTCGTTAGATACCGGGACCATGTTCTCCGGCCCCACTTCATTCCTCGTATCCGTCAGTGGAGTCCAACCTTCCAGATAGACATTGCCAGACCACACGATGTAGTGGTGTGTCGTGCTTTACTAGCCAAAACAATGTCCCAGTACTTAATTGGCCATAATGCTATCCAGATTTGTCCTCCATTGACCATGTGGCACAAACTGGACAGACGGCTTCAAAACACACGCCATCATGCCACGTCGCTCAGGCACTTCTGGATGTATGGAATAACATTACAGTACGAAGAATAAACAGGCCGATGGTTCTGTAGTGAGGAGGGTACGGCGGTCGGGCAGTTATCTAGGCCCACGGAGGACAGACATCGAAGAGAGATTCGAATTACAACGTCATTCCTTACACCGCATGTGTTACAATATCAGTACCCCCATACTTTTTTCATAAAGGATCAAGGTGACTGTTAGACTTGACTCTGATGAAATATCTTTAATGAACTTTGCGAAATATACCACCCGAAATACATATTGCGTTAATATTTTTTTATGTCATTTATATATCAGCAATAATTATGGTCCGGGAAGTGAACCTATAACCACTACAGATTTATTGAAGCTTATATCCGAAAAGGAGATTTTCAACAAAGATTTTCTGTTTGCTATTTGAGAGATAATTTTGTAGCCATGCAAATAAACCACAAGAAATACCACATGCTTTTAATTAAACAAGACGACCTTTTTGCCAAACCCTACCAAGACCTTAAATATATAACAAGGCATACACATTTCTTATCATCTTAATATAATCAGGCGGTACGAAAATATTTTATCAACTGATATATACTGTGGAATGACCAGGCATGAACCCTGATTGGTACTCATACGAAGTCGGTGTCGCTCCTCTAAATGGATTGGTCAATTTTTTTGTTACTGAAACCAATCAAATAGCTTACCGCGTTCCCTCGGTTTTGTCACGACATTCCAAGGGTGTAGAAAAGATACGGGTACCTACAGCGGAACCCTTGGATTTCGAAGATGACCATATGGGTTGGTGTTCTCTCTGTTTTTAACATTGAAATCTAACGGAGAGACCTATAGACGCCCGTATACGATCAATGCAGTAGTATTTAATACAACTCTGCTGTACGGGCAGTACATATTGTTACAGAGACTTGTTACATGATAAAGTATATATGCATCATAGCCAGAATGAAGATTAACAGCCCAAAAAGGCAAGTGAGCGCGTGTCTTGTATTTACAGCTTCGGCTTTTCATGAAATGCAATAGCAAACAAACGACACGGGATATTTACCCAAGGTTCATATAGTTACGTTACGGTGTAATTATACTGCATGATGACTAGAAACTTGAAGTGCCACGAGAGTGTCATCAGGAGACACGTGTAATTTGTGGGTTTATACAATGTATAACAATTGCAAATATCGTTTTTGACCTAAGCAGGGTCTTCAAAATAGGGCTTCAAATAGTGTTTGGCCTTGCGACCTGACTGCGAGATACATTTTTAAATTTTAGTACGTACAATAATGTAGCCATCTAGCTCCCTTGCACAACCGCACTGAGAGGAGAATGCTGTTGAGAAAGTCGCGCTAAAATATGGACTTTCACAGAATAGATCGTGACACATTCACTGTATCTTGACAGTTTGTTCATTTCGAACCATATCTAAGCTTCAGATACGAAAGTACCCTAATAATCTCTTACAGTTATTCCCACAAGCTATCAACTACAAACAAACACTACTAGAGCTTAAATTTGATGACCTTAGAATGACTCCTCCTCCAGCGTGTTCTTGCTCCATGTCCCCTATACAACTATAGTCCGGCTGGACATGTTTTAATTGGCGATCTAAATATTATCCATAATGTCAATTATGGTCCTAAGGATCGAGAGAAAGGAAACTATAATTTCAAGATTCTGCTGGATTCTGTGGAAAACTACGCCAGACAATTGGCAAAACAAGAGCATGTTTACTTAAATTCAATTTCATAATGGGTCACATGTATTAGGTCCATAATGGGTCACATGTATTAGGTCCATAATGGTTCACATGTATTAGGTCCATAATGGGTCTCGTGTATTAGGTCCATAATGGTTCACATGTATTAGGTCCATAATGGTTCACATGTATTAGGTCCATCATTCATAATGGGTCACATGTATGAGGTCCAGAATGGGTCACATGTATTAGGTCCATCATTCATAATGAGTCACATGTATTAGGTCCATAATGGGTCACATGTATTAGGTCCATCATTCATAAAAGATTTGTTGCTTGGAATCTAAAACGAAAACAAAGCACATATTAAATGCCCATATCGATAGCTCACTCTGTCAAAACCATGTGCACCCATGGCCAACGATCTACACGATATGTATGTGGGTCTGCAAACAAAGCCTCTATTAACGAAATCATTGTCTGTAAGTAATATTACGTTACCTGCTTGCAAAACGAACTAGGCTTGCTCGATAACCAAGGAAACCCTGTCTGTGCAATGTAAATTTCCAAGTTTTCCAAAGACGAAATAGTATATAATCACGCTTCTGTATTACAATCTTATCGACTACTAGCGCGAGTTGCCTTTGGTCCTAACACCAGATTTAGACATTTTGACATATAGATGTCTGGGGACGAGACATCTACATGTATATGTCAAAATGTCCCAAGTCTGGTGTTAGGGCCAGAGGAAACTCGGGCTAGTCGAATACCCACTAATGAATAACATACCAACCTACCTGCCCCGTTTGTTTTTGATTCCGAAACTTTTCAAGAACGTTTTATCGCTGGCTCTTCTAATTGCTCAACCAAACAATTATCTAAAGGTCTCACTACCATTAAATTGGGGATGGTCATACTGTGACACTGTATACACAAAAGGGAAATTGAATGTGGATTTATAAAAGTTCAAAAGATCTTTTGGTCAATCTTTAACATCCTCTTCTCAAAAAAGTTTCTTCTCTAAAAATTCCGACTTTTAAAACCTTCACAATACCATACCTCATACCAAACTGAAGGAATGCCTTCATTCTCTAATTACTATGAGAGGTTTTATTCAATAGAGGCGAACGGCGATATAAATATGTGGTTGTAAATTATTCTGGAGCTGATTTTGTGAAAAGCACAACAAAGGTCATAATAAATTATTGAATACCTTGCTAACAATGCTTTTGCTGAGTTCGGTGGCAAGATTTTCCAGCAGGTTGCAGGCATTCTTATTGAAAATTTGTCGATTTGTTTTTATTTTCATATGAAGCTGCATTAATTGACGAGCTTATCAGGACTAGTACATTGTAACATAAATCTAGCCAAGTCTCTTAATTTCACATCCTGATGAAGATATGCAGTATTTAAATAAAACGTTAAATGTATTGACCACATCGATCTTATGTACCCTCCTAACTTCAACTCAAGGAAACACTGACCCTTCTACTTAAGCCGCTTTCCTACCTTCATTTGCAACATGCCCGAAAAGTACCAGCTTACTTCTAGTTGTACAAAGACGGTATCCTCTTTCGAATTGTGAAATTTCCCTTTTTTGATAGTTACATCCCTGCTTCCCCATACATACGGTGTTTACATGTCACAGTTGATTCAGTATTCAAGAGCCTGCTCCGAATATCATCACTTCTTTGATAGATGTCACCTACAGACGGAAAAACTTCAAACATATACAACCCAAGGTTTCAAAAAATGCCATCTGATGAAGACTATGACCAAGTTTTATGGTCCCCATCACGATCTCATCTGGAAATGTTCTATATTTCTTTGTGATGTGAAGGTCGATTTTTATAGTATGCCATTAGTTTGCGATGCGGTTTTGTTGCTGCTACCCTGAGTTCTCATGCCATGACATGACCTTACTTGGATTATACCTAGATTTATCATGCAGGGTCATTGATTAAGCAGGAGATACTTGCCCTTATGGAACACCTGGTCTTATTTGTCTTGTACCGGAAGGGTATCCATGATAATCTTTCCTATATTCCTATCTTGCCCAAATTGTTTTATTAACACCTAAGTATTCTCGTCATTTTTTTTTTCTTTTTCAAATGTGAAGCCATCTTCAACTGATATTCAGTATATTTCAGTGTGCACATATTCAAATAATTTGTGCACCCTGTACCACACCTAACTAATAAATGTGTTTTTTTAGTGTGTGAATTCAAACAAAAATAAAAGTCATTTTCCTAATCCTTTTTATTCTAGGCTAAACACCAACTTAATCGCACATAGTGATTCTTAAGTAGTTCATCAATGACTAAAGTTGGTACAGTTCAGAAACTTCATCGACAGATACATGTAAAACCCTCCCAAACTTGTAGCAAATAACAAGTAATGCAGAAAATACTAGAGAAATATTCATTTATTAAAATGTACAGGAAGTGAAACATATTTACGAAATTAATTCTTTCCAAAAATGGCAACGCATTTGTTATGGAAATCTCCAGCTGCTGTATTTTCGTATATCAATTTTAATGAAATACATTCTGATACTTTTTCCATCTCTTTGATTAACAATCACAGAACACGGCAAACTAAATTGAAACGAATCAAAAAGGCATCAGACTTAAAGGAAGTTGCTTTCACAAGGTTGAAATTTTGAACCGTCATAAGGCTATGAGGTGAAATGATTGCACAAAAACAGTTTATGGAACTACTGGTATTCAGGCAGGCCGCATTGGCCAGCTCTATCAATGAGAACGATAATGTGCTTCAGCCATAGACGATATAAAAATATCAACTGAAACTATTTCAAAATGAAATCATCCAGATCTAAAGTCGGATGTGGAGGATTTACTAAATGTGTACCGTTTTCTTTGTAATGTTTTTGATGATCTTAAAAATGGCTGCAGGAAATTCAGAAAAAAACAAGAGCCATTGATACAGTGTACATGTCAAAATATGCCTCCAGTTCTGACAAAGTCCAAATTTCAATGGTCGATTAATTAAGTATTTCTATACAAAATATATCACAAATTTTGTGTGGTACATATTTGTAATAAGTTTATCTACATTCACATGTAACAATATGTAAACATACTTTTCACTATATAAGGTTCAGGGTACACAGATACAAAGTGCGACTTGTCAACCTGTCTTCATGATTCAGCAGATTTCACACTTTATACAAAATAAAATTACTGAAAAAGGAACTAAATAAGCACTTATTTCAATTTTAGGTTGTCAATTCAGAGAGGCCTAACAAAATGAATAAATACAAATTTCACTGCACCTGCTGGACATATTGTCCAATTACAAGACGCATGGCCAATTTATCAAATGAATGCAATAAACAATGAAGTAATGTTTGAAAATAGCACAGACATTCACACATTGATTGGCAAATAACATGGACATTCAAACATTGATTGAAAAAAACACATGTTTACCACCTTCTAATACCAAACATTTTCTTTATGAATGTATACCTGACAGCATAACAATATTCAGGCCAAACCTCAATATTTATCAAACAAGGTTACCGCGAGCGGTATATAATACGCCCGCCACACATTGAATGAGCAGTTGTTTGTATGATTGAAATATATGAAGTATTTGTGAGTAATTGATATTAAAAGAGAAATCATTCAACATAACTGGTAGATCAATGAGTGCAATACAACATCATGGAACGCATGCATCGCATTAATGAAACCAAGGGGAATAACTCCAATAATTACGGTCGGATAATGGCGGTTATCGAACTTGTCCGAGGTTTCATGGTAATTAACCTTGTTGTGAAGTTTGAAGTTAATCCGTTAATAATTACTCGAGATATCGAGCGGACACTGTTTCGGCAAGTCCATAAAGGGGCATAACTCCACAAATTATGGTCGGATAATGGCGGTTATCAAACTTGTCCGAGCTTTCATGGTAATTAACCTTGTTGTGAAGTTTGAAGTTAATCCGTTAATAATTACTCGAGATATCGAGCGGACATCGTTCGCATGCCCGCCCGCCCGCTACAGAAATCACAACAGATCCTTTTAAGAACTGCATTGGGAGATGATTACAGTCAATTACCATGCCTAGTTTCAGGCACCAAAAGTACAACTCAAGTTTCCCTGTGCCATGTTCATGTGAAAGTCATTGTCATTCCCAAATTACTAAAGTTTCGGCAGCGAGGAACGAGCAAGGGCTTGGCTCGATGACCACTCAAAATCATGTTGGCGCAAGGTTGGACAAGAATTCGCATCTTGCATGAGATTGCTCATGACAAAGCCAACACATCCGCTATTTTAAAACATACAGTTCTTGACAAAATATATATAAATAGTATCCCAATTATTATTCCAATTGTTATGGATTTTGAAAGTACAATGACACTGTTGATAAATGAATAAAGCAATATCATCGGAAATAATAAATTATTGTAACATGCATAAACACTAATATTGGTTACAAAACCATCAGCCATATTAAAAGAAGAGGAAAAGTGAAAAATGTATTCAGCGTTTGACATTTGTTCACCTGCACACTCTAGTCTAATACAAAATCTATAAATCTCTACTCGTGAACATCAATGTGGGCTAAAATACACAACATTCGGTAAACACACAAATAGGACTGAACACAATTACTAGTCTCACACATCCACATAAATGAAAAATCAATTATATATTTACACTTAATAGAATCTTGTTATGCCTATTTGGCCTTTGTATAAGATTCCACATTAAGACTCAGTTTACTTATCTATATAGTGGATAACAATCTAAATGGATTAGTTTACTCTTATATGAAAAGCAATACAGAGAAACGTTCATCTTGGAAAAAAAGTCTAAGGTACTAGTAAAAAATTTCAATTCTGCAAATATTATGTTTGAGCAATAACAAATATCAGTCGTTTTGCATGAAAAGATGTTTTGCAAGATATCTATATTGAGATAACATACTGGCCTGTTAATTAACAAGATTTTTTCTTTTTTTAATTCAAGTGCTTACAGAAATACATCTTTACAGCTCAAGAAGCAGGAATGTCTTTTAAAAACAGTTTTCTTTGTCTGTAAAGTATATTTTACTGAATACAGCAAACCAGGAATAAAATGATCTGGTGTCTGTTACACAAACAAGTGTCTTTCAGATTTTTGACATTGCATGTCACAAGCTGATGCTAATGAAAATATTAGTTACTTATTAATATAATACATTGCATCAATAAAGTTGAGGTTAATCAGCCAGCAAGTTGTGTCATATCAAACACAGGAAGAAAACATCCATGTACATTAATGTAGAGTTATCAGAGTGGTCAGGTGTCAGGTTGATAGACCCAACAACATGTGTAGGAATCAGGAAGATTTCCTGCTTAATTCAAGATTCCTCAGATGGACCTACTGATCAGTCAACTAGGTAGTGGGCTTATTTCTTTTAGCCAATCAGAATATGAGTTACAAAGAGTTGACATGATTAACATGTTGTCTATCAATTAAGAAAAAAAAATGTGAACACATGACCAACCTTGTAAGTCCCCGCCCATCTACTATACTACATACTTATTATCAAAAATATGTATCATCATTTTATTTTCAATTCGAAGTTGTTAATTTTAAATGCTTGGTTTGTAGGTATAATTGGAGGACCATAGCATTATTGTCTGCAAAGTATATGTTACAAAGTGTGGCAGTAGGCCCAGACTTATTGTCTGCAAAATATATGTTACAAAGTGTGGCAGTAGGTCCAGACTTATTGTCTGCAAAGTATATGTTACAAAGTGTGGCAGTAGGTCCAGACTTATTGTAAGTCTAGGAAAATAGAATACTTTGGTGTCTCTTACATATATAACCAAACAAGTATTTTGTGGTTGCATTACTGTTGAAGGGTGTTTTAAAGAAAAAAATCTAGTGAGATCTGCTGCTGGTATAATACATGTCAGTATTGCTGCAATAATTTAAGTTGAATTTTATTATTCAAAATGGATAAACCATCTACAAACTTGTACTGATATTGTACACAATTTGTTATGCAAGATAAAGCAAAAACTAATGTTGATATACCATTTAAGACGGCATGCAAACAGGTGCAGTTTCAATAATATTGCAAATATGAGATTCTATGTGTCCATGATGATTGCGTTGACAGCACTATGAGCCTCAGTAGCCATGGCAACAGCACTCGCCTCACTTGCAGCTTTCTCAGCTGTGGCACTGCCCTCTCGCTCATGGTATTCCTTTACTTCTCGGTCATATCTTTCCTTCTCCTGCTCGTACAAATCATAAAACACCTGAAACCCAGAACAAATACCAATAACTTTCATCCCCTACAATTTAGGCCTTATGTTAAGTAGACACTATAGTCTATAACATTTGGGGAATTATAATTATATTTTTTTTTTTTTTTTTTTTTTTTTTAGAATTATAACTGAAACAAGTGACACAACAAAATGACTATACAGATGTGCTATGAATGTCCAGAAGGCAACAACTTGGGTGTGAAAATATTTCGGTTTATGATTATATTACAGTACAGTAAAACCTCAAAATAATGGTTCTTGCGTCATAGGTCAACGTTGTACCTAAATGTTCCCTTTCTTCCTTTTTCTCACCAATTCCTTTATACATAGATCTATCAGTATATCGTGAAACCATTGCGGAACAAATTCTGGTAATATAGTGAGATTTTACACATGCTCTATATCTAGTAGTAATCACACAGTTTCAAGATAGTGCCTAGTTGACACACATTTTCAGCATGTTTGTCTCAATTATTTATTAAACTTTTAGCTATAACGCAGATTTATTATATAATTCTAATAAGATAATGTAGCCCACCAGCTTAGATGATACAAGCAGCCAAAGATAATACATAAATATGTAGATCTTTGCAAGTTATCCAATCTTTTTGATTTGTCAATCCTATAGAGTTAACCACTGTGTAAACTGTAAGTAAGTATACATATTGGAAACTGGTATTTTTCTGGTATGACTATAGCTTTGGTAAATCATTTCTGAAAAGAAAAACATACCATGCAGGACTTTCATGAGACATAATAGATAAACAAATGTTGAAATGTAAATTAACAACAGTGTTCCGAGTGCAAAAATTCAGTGGGGCCAAAAAGGGATTCAAACCCTAGACTTCAAATTGTTCTACAGTCATTATATTCAAATGAAAGGTAAGGGGAGGTTACTGTATATAGGACAAACCACAGTGCAGTGGGACATGGATCCTTAATATGAAAATGTGTACAAGTTTTGCTACATCCTCAACTCACCCTTTTTTGTTCTGGATTTAGACTGTTCCACAGGTGAGCCAATCTTTTAGTAAGTTCATGGTTTGAGATCTCCTCTTTATTTTCCTGTATAAAACAATTCCATTATGTGAACAAGCTTGATCAAGTGACCAACACCAAAGTCTCACATTTACCTTGCTATAACAAATACACTGTAAAAGAATGTTGAGTGTGAATCACTTGGTGTCATTCATACTTAATTTCCACAATTATCATCACTAAAAATTTGGAGAGAAAAGAAAAAGATATTATTATCACAATAATTTTGCTCAGTTTGTCTGAAATTCAAATATTCATGATAATTTCTTTGTAATCAGCCTTCTGCATTAATTATACACAAGAGGCCCAAGGGCCTTAGCGGTCACCTGAGTTATATCATAAGTACTGGTAGCTTTATTTTATTGTTTAGATGTGATGTGGAAATCAGCATGTAAACTAAGTGAAATACAATACTTGTCATGTATGGATAAGAATTTGAAAATATTGGTAAATGTTCCCTTTGGGGCCCCGCCCTAGCCCCTGGGGATGGGGCAGGAATCCTAATTTTACAAAGTAAAACTCTCATTTACCCAAGATGATTCTGACTAAGTTTGAGCAATTTTCTGCTGAAAATGGATAAAATATATACCGAAAAGTGTTATTTCCCTATATAAACTATATTAAACGTTACCCCCTCCCCAAGGGAGAACGGATAGCTCGGGGTCCTGATATTTTCAATTTAAATAAAGCCCCTGATGATCTTTCTTTCCACGTAAAGAAAATCACTGTAGTACCTCTGAGTCTGGAGAAGAAGATTTTTGAAATATTGATTAATTTTCCCTTTGGGGCCCCGCCCTGGCCCCAGGGGTTGGGGTAGGAATCCCAATTTTACAATTTTGAAGCCTCATCTTCCAAGGATGATTCTGACCAAGTTTGAAAAAAATCCATCCACTGGTTCTTGAGACGAAGTTGAAAATGTAAAAGTTTACGCACGACGGACGACGACGGACGAAAAGCGATTAGAATAGGTCACTTGAGCAAAGCTCAGGTGACCTAATAATAAATAATTATTCTTGAGATCTTTGTGTAAATAATTCTCGGCGTAACCCAATTTTTTGTCAAGTATTTTGTTACTGACTTTGTGATAGAAAGATTAATGATTCGTAGAGATATTCAAATTTGTGATTAACTCTATAGATCTCCAGCCTTCAATGGTTGAAGTTTGGTAAGATATTCAAATTCATATTTAACTATCCAAATGAATCAATAATTGTTTAAAAGCTATCTTAATTTGTGATTAACTTCATGCATGAATGATTCATTGTCCATGATATACAGTCGAACCTCGTTATCTCAAACTCGTATAACTCGAAGACCCCGTTTAACTCGAAGTATTTCATCGGTCCCGGCCAAAACTCTTCTTAATCTTAGTAATAAAAACTCTGATAATTCGAACTCTGAACTTTTATTATACATAAAAATATCTCCTACCTCGAAGTTTCTTAAGATTTACAAGTCTATCATATATTCTTTAATTATTTGATACATATTAGACGAAGTGCTACCGTAAACATCATTCTAATTGAGCAGCTTACGCTCGGTCATAATTACTTCGATTTAAAAATATTAGCCACACTTATGGCATTAAAATGTGTTTGACTGTAAAAACACTTTGTACAAATAAAGAAACAAACTTCATCAATGTTGATTAACAACAATTAGTACTCACTGCGAGCCCGTAAACAATTTGAAAGGCACTTTATTTTCACCAAAGCTGCTGACACATTCTAACTGGAAAATGGGTCACAGTGTGTGGTCAAGCGTAAATAAGCTCCACAGTAAAAATCACAACCTAGGACTGGTTCGTCGGTTTATGTTTTTACAGGAGCTTGTATGGCACTGATAATTAATTGAGAGATTTAGGAACAATGCGATAATTATTGTTGAGTACGTCGTGTTGAGGAGATGTCAAGTGTCATTGGGGTCTATAAATGTGGATATGTTTCCCGATTAACTCATTCCCATTTCGGAATGTCGAGATCAACTGAGCAATCCAACGTGTACGCTCCAATACAGTGATTTGTGTAAAGACTTGCGCACTTTCATTTCCGCATTGAAATTTCTATCAGCATAGTACGAGGTCGGAGACAGCATGTGTGTTTATTATAACATTATTTAATTAATGAATATGATAATGAATATGTAGTTAATTTTTATTTTATATAGTTATCTTTTTGTCATTTATCGACTGTTTAAATACGTTGATTGTCAGAGAAATCATATTGGACCAAACACTTTACCAAGCTTTATGCCAAACACAGGAACTCGCTTAACTCGAATACTCGGATAACTCGAAGTTTCCCAACGATCCCGTCGACTTCGAGATAACGAGGTTCGACTGTACATGTATTGAATTAAATTTCTGTTAGATATTCTCCAGCAATGATTTAATCAACACATGTCAAGATATTAAAACTTGTGATTAATATCTAGTGACATTAGGCCACAGTGATTGTGTTAAAATGATAGCTATATACATTGGGATTAACCTTGAGGTAAGCCTCCTGAACAGTCGCCCTCTGTTGCTGACAGAACAAGAGGAAGGCATTGGCAGGTTTTTTTGGAGCGCTGGGATCCTTCTCCTTGTCAGACTTTGCCTTCTTGGGTTTTCCAGAAGATGTAGCTGTCGGACTACCATGGGATCCAACTTCCGCCATTCCATGGGCAGCCAAGATTGGATTTATTGAAGATAAAATGTCTGCCACTGGACGCTCCTGTTTGACCTTTGGTGGCTGGGTATCTGGAATAAGCTCCCCTCCATTCTTTGTTGGTCGTATCCTTTTAAAGATCTGATCCTCCTAGAAAATAAATTTGTTTGTTACCATGTAAATGCTGTTTAACAAATCTGCAATTGTTTATGTAACGAGGTAATCTGGTAGTCTTAATATAATAATAAGAAATCCTTCTTATATGAATTTTTTATCAAAGTTCTGAAAGAATATTTTATCCAAAAATATAATAGTCCTCAAGTACAATGTTTGCAATGATATTAAAATTATCAATAACAAACTTACTTTTAAGCCGAGTCGATGACATCCCTTTTACAGAGAAGTTGGTGTAAAAACAATCACAAACATGAGGTGCAAGCTTGCTCAATGAACTTTTACAATGACAAGTTTTAATTTCTATTAACTTACCTCCCACATGAGGGGTACTTGTGACTCCTGATAAGAATCACCGTACTCGTCTAACTTACTGGCCAGATATCTAAAACAACAATGTCAATCATAAGAGTACACATCACACACTCTGTGTTGTACAATATTTAATGTACCTCAAGCATTGACAAATTACTTATGATAAGCTAATTTATATAATAATCAGCTATAACGGATAATCTTGCAATTGGATTCAAACTAAACTGTGTGATAAATGGCAAGGGTTAATATAATTTCTCATAACCAATCATTGTTAAGAAGGGTTAGACACTAACTACTTTAGCTGTGGTACCCACAAGGCAGAGTTCACCGATCAGGATGTTGATCCAAGGGACCAATAAAAAGCTATAGATAATGTGAATAAATAATAATCAGGTAAAGTCATTGAGAAGGGGAGAAGAGAATATCATTTGTGATAGCTCGATGTTCCAGGCGTATTTGTGTTATTATATACATCTAAATGAGTAATGACCGAATGCTTGTGTAATGGCAAATTGGTGGTGCAAATTGGCACAACATTCATGTGTTACTATAGCTAGGTATCATCACACTAAAACAGACTGGGGGATCAAGCTATCATATTTATCTCAACCATGGTTGTTAATTTAAAATTGTCAACAGATATTGAAGTTTTACTGTGTCTCAGAAGAGAAGAAATCTTCAGTAAGTAAGTGAGAAATCTGTATCTCATAGACCCATCGTTTATGGTGTGGAAATCCTCAGTTCTAAACTTACACTGCCAATAGGTGTAATTACCAAGACTACAATATAAATAATTATTAAGAGGTAATATGGTTCATTATTGGCTCTTTTATGGAAACAATTCCCTTCTAAATGTATTTTTAACAACAAAAGGCCCAATGGGCCTGCATCGCTCACCTGGTATAAATCTCACACTTGTAACCTTCAAAGTCATTCACTTTAACAAACATATATAGTAGTCCTTGATCCCAGCATGCTACTGACTAAATATCATCACCCTGGGCATTTTAATTATTCAGGAGAGGTTGTTTAACCCTTTCACCCCTATGTAACTTTAGTAGACTCTACCATGCATTGATATGGATGAGTCCATTATGGTCTACAGTGTTGAAAGGGTTAAAGTTTTTAACACATTTGACCCCTGTGACCTTGCATATGGGTGAAGGTCATTCATTTGAAAAAATTTTGTAGCCCTTCAACCAAGCATGCTACTGGCCAAATATCATCACCCTGGGCATTTGGTTATGAGAAGAAGTTGTTTAAAGTTTTCAAACAAATTTGACCCCTGTGACCTTGAATATGGGTGATGGTCATTTATTTGAACAAACTTTATAGAACTTCATCTCAGCATGCTACTGGCCAAATATCATCTCCCTGTGCAGTTTGGTTATCGAGAAGAAGTTGTTTAAAGTTTTTAACATATTTGACCCCTGTGACCTTGAATATGGGTGAAGGTCATTCATTTTTACAAGCTTTGTAGCCCTTCATCCCAGTTTGCTTCTGGCCAAATATCAACACCCTAGGCCTTTCGGTTATTAAGAAGAAGTCGTTTAAAGTAAAATATTGACGCCGGATGGACGCCGCGCCACAGGATAACCTCACTTGGCACTTCGTGCCAGGTGAGCTAATAAGTTATTGTTTCACACTTAGGGTTACCACAGATGCTGTTTATTTTTAGATTATGTAATAATAGGTGTGATTTTATACCTTCGTTCTCTCTTCCATCTTTTAATGAGCTTCTTCACATGCTGAATTCTGTTCACAACTTTTTCATTTGCCTGCAAAATAAAATGAATAGTTTAGATCTTGTTTCTTCCTAACTAATGCATAATGTGAACTTGCACAGCCCCACTAGTACTATAAAACTACTCTTCATTAGTTGTAATTTTATGAAATTTCTAAGCTTTACCTGTTAGCTTAAATTCTTCACTTTCACACAATGCCTCTCAAACCAAATGTTCTTCTGTTAGATTTCCTGCATTTCATGATCATCCCCCACTTTTAATTCAAGAGTTAGGTTAATCACTATATTCAAAACATATTTAACAGTTTTAATTAATATCTGACAAGATATAACTCTGAAAATGATTGTAGTCCTTCAGACTTCTTTGCATTCTTTGACCTTCTTCCTTAATGCGAAATATTTCCATACTCATGACTTTCGCTGCCCTGGGTACAGATGCAAATTTAAGTATCGCTTGGTCTGTCTGCTGTTTTAAACATGATTATTACGGGAATATTTTTGTACCTAGCTATTTGACCATTAAAACCTAAATGTTGTCTTGATTGGAAACTGTCATTTTCACCAAATTACAACTAAAGTATGCATTGAATTGTTTATTCTTATGCAATGAACAGTTTTGATAATCGGAGAACACCAATACGTGTATACCCAAATTAAAATAAGTGTCAACCAAAATACCAATTTTTTTCAGTGAGTCAAGATCATGATTACCTTAGGTTGAAACATACCTAATTTTTGCTTTGGTCTTGCTACAAATATTTTTTTCCTGTTAGAATTATCAAGCACTTAAAAATTAAGACAGTGAGGCAAAATTGGACTGGGGCTATTGTCAGCAACCAGGTAGCTCAATTGGTAGACGTGTCTCATGGAGTTTGGAGGTCCCAGGTTTGAATCCTAGCCTGGACATGTATTTTTAGAGTACAAGGTGATCAAGAAAACTAGGTAATTGGGGATACCCAAACATGAGTTGTCAATAGTGTTATCGCTGGGGCGAAAATTCAGAAAAGGAGACAGTTCGGAGGGTCCCAGTTTCAATCCCAGTCTGGCTGTGCATAATATTTTTGCTCTTTGGTTATATATATGTAAAACAGGCCAATGAAAATTTCATTTGGAATTTAAGCTTTATCATATTTAAGAAATCTAATTTAATGTACATTATAAATATCCTCAATGCATGTCAGTCAATGTGAGTATAAATTCCAAGTTCTAAGACTGCAGGTGTCTTGTTTTAGTCAGTACATACAACACTACTTTATATATGCATCCATTTCTCATATCTGAAATGGAAAGGATCAATTCTATTTGCAGTGCTCTTATGCTGTGCGCATGTGCTTGCGCGGCTGAAAGGTTTTTCCAGACCATCTCGGAAAGTCGAGGGAGTCCGCACAGCCCGTTTAAAAATATATTTTAATCAGTTCAAAAAAGTTTCATTATCTCATGCAAAGTAATATTTTATATCAATTGGTGTAAATATGTTTGCGCTGAAGTTGTTAAATATCAGAAGTTCAAGGAAGAATCCTGCTGCACATGAACAGGTTGGGCACAACAGCGCATATGGGTAATAATGCTGCATTCGGGTAACAGTTACCAGTTACCAATTTCAGTAACAATTTTATAACGGAAATTGGGAATTAAGTGAAATAAAAACACACAAAGTTCTTTTAAACACTTGGAGCAAAAAAGGGTGTCATTCTGTAAACTAAATCAAATAAATAACACAATGAAGTACATTTTACTACTAGCTTATCTCCCCCTACGTATACTGCCCTAGTTTAGAACTTTAAGGATCAGACATCCAAATGATCAGCATTTTTTGAGTTAAAACTTTTTTCTTAATAATTCAATATTCTAGAGACGGTGGCCAGTCTAATGTGACAGGTGAGCATGCTTTTTTATGTGTGCTATTTATAGCTTCTGTACAACACACTATAAGCAATGGAGGTGATACAATTTGTCATTTTCATACATTTACATTTGACAATTGTTACAGTACCTCATTGTATTTTTTATTTGATTAACGTTGAAAGAATGACGCCCTTTTTTGTTCATAATGTGTTAAAGAACTTTGTGTGTTTATTTCACTTTATTACCCATTTCAATAATAAAACCAACCTGCTGAAGAGGCGATTCGTCGAAACAGGTAACTTGAAAAACAGAATGATAAAAACACTGTTTTCAGTTCAATTAAAACACTATATACTAGCTTCCTGATGATACATACTTGTTGTAGTTGTTCACATTTCTTCCTTAGTGAAAAATATTTCTTCAGAAAAGCATTTTCGTTTGCTAACACTGCTAGCTGCGCTTCCAGACCTTCCGACATTTTGATTGAGGGGAGCTTACTCCAACATACTGTACAAACTAAATTCTCTAATGATGAAATGGAAGCGGAGAAAATATCCGGAATCTCGTTACAGGAATCACGCAACTAATTAAAATTGGCAAATCAGTAGTCAGTGTTTGTACTTCCAACGTAAAATTAGAGAAGAATTTAAAATGTAGCGATTATGACAGATATATGAATTATTGAAAACAACAGGTACTGGTAACTTACAAATTAAAATATTGTACATTGTAGGTAGACTGCTGTACTGATATGTCTGAACGGAAGTATATAAAGAAGTAAAAAGAGGGACTTTCCGAGTCATTGGTCAACGGTTGCACTACAAGTTCGTGTCCCATTCTATGTTATGTGATTCTTTCTGAAATCAGTATTTTAATAAAAGTTTAAGTAACTTTTGGTGTTTTGTTTTTTGTTTATATAGTAAATACAAGATACAAGATACATTTTTTTTATTTAAAGTCGTATATGTTGTAACGAAAACATTAGCTATGTAGAGCTATTTTTACGACAAACAAAGGTATAAAAACAGGATATATAAGACAACATGCAGAAAACAACAGGCATATAGTAAGGTTTATACACACACAGACAAGAAAAAATACGTAAGTTTGACGTGCCATCCGTGTATTAGGTCAATAAAAATGCTGTTTTACAACTTAAAGAAATATAAACGAATAAAATGTGTGGTTTTTTACTTGGCAACATAATCCAATGTCTCCGGACAGATCTCCTACATGCAGCAAGATGTGAGGTGACGTCGTGTAAATACGCCTACAGTATCAAGGTGAATAACGTTACCCCATACCGTCGTTAATATATAATACGCTATTACGTAGACAACGTACCATTGCAGAATTTTAGTCTGTGTAGTCTGCATTACCTCACTACAGGGCCATTTGTAGACCCAGTCTACGATACACCCCTGCAGGTCGGGGGTTGAGAAAGGTGATCGTAAGAGGCGACTAATGTGGGATCCCCCTGCATGATTAGGGATTTGCTTTAACGACCATAATGAATCTGCTGCACCAATTGCAATATCTGGGATCTTTATATTTCCCTCTACTTCTAACTACATATTATTTCCTAGCGCATTGCTTAGCAACACCTCACTTTTGGCTTTAATGTTGAACGTTCGCCAAGGTGAGGAAGGCAATGGATTCTGTCCCTAAGCCGTGACATACCAAAGTTCTTAAAAATGTAGCTGTTATTCCCAGCTTAACGTTCAGCGTTTGGGGCAAAGGCAACAACTGGTTCACCCGTTGTCAGTATAATGTGACCGGGCGGAATACTGTGCTTGGTGCCTTCGGCATTTTATTACAGTGAAGTAGCACTCTAAAGCCGGCATCGGATCCTCACTTCCACAAGGAGGCAAACACACCAACACACCATGCCTCCAGCACACAGCAAACAAGCTTGCATACACAACACATATGGAGGCACGTCCTTATATGACATTAGCTGTTAAAAGGACTTTAAACAAAATAATAACCAAAACTAAACACCAAAAGCTTAGAATCGCACTAACACTCCTTGACAGATGCAACAGTATCATCACAGAGCAGGGCAATAGACCCAGGAAGGAACAGCACATAAAAGACACACTGGTCCATTAACAAATTCAAAAGTGTTATACACGAATAGGCAGAAAACAAGAAACAGGGACAAAAGAAAAGAGATTAGAGCCAAACCAAATGCAAAGACTAGTTTACAATACCCCTACATGAAAGGAATGTCTGGGGTGTTAACCCGGGTGATGAGGAAACACCATTTCAGCACACCGAAGAGGCCATTGACAGGGGCGTAGCTAGGCCCATTGTAGTCCGAATTATTCTGACGTTTTATCGACATTTATTTTATATATCGGTCTGACGTTAATCGACGACAGACCGATATTAAAAAAAGTCGATAAAACGTCAGAATAATTCGTACTAGGCCCATCGAAATGTGTAAGCCCAGGCGAGGGGTCTGATTGCCGCCCAGGCCCAAATCGAGTCCAGTGTAGGGCCCTGGTGGGGGGCTCAGGGGGGCGAAGCCCCCCGACGGAAAATGAGTTTTAAGATTTGACGAAGCATTCAAATTGTTATCCGAGACAGTTATTTAAAGACATTTTTTTTGAGTCAAATGCGCTGAAATGAAGAACATCACATAACTAATGTTCGTTATAATGTTTATTTCATACTACACGTTGCCCAGCCAACATGCAATTTACAGCTTACAGCTAGAAATGTCTAGATAAAAGACACTTTCCTTTTCTTTTGTGTTATGAAGAAGGTCTGTACTATGTTGTCCGTATTTATAGGAATTTCTCTGTGAACATGTAGCATTGCTAGCGAGGAAAGACGGTCTTGGTTTATCTTGTAACTATTCAGTAAAAAATGTAAAGTAAAACCGACTTCCGCTGAACTATAGTAATATATATAATACATTTCTTTTCTAATTATGATTTTAGACATTGCTTATCAGACGCCTTTTGAGTACGTTAATAAAAGCAGCTCATAAAATCAAATGAATTAGTCCCACCCCCTCAAAAAAGGAGCAGAAAAATATATAATTTAAGTTCTATAAGTTATAAGTATATAAATCCCGACCGATCTACCCTATTTTTTCAGTCATGCTATAACCAGAAGTTTGTTTTCTATCTAACCAGTCTAAATACCATGATGGAGAAGGTCTGGGTCCCAGTTTTTTTTAAAAAATAATGCTGATTCATATTTTCCCTGTGATAATGTATGAGAAGTCTTCATCATATCATCTGATTAGAAAAATAAATTCTTGTAGTTTCTATCGGCAATATCGTTAAACCCAAAATTGTCTTAACTACATTGAAGGAAATTCAAATGTGCCCTGTCACTGAGACGGTGTCGTCAATAGATTGTGGACACCTTGTTCTGAATTGATTTCTTGCTGGGATTTAAATCCCATGTCAATGTACAATGGTCTTTGCTGGAGTGTTTTTGGAGGGTCCAAGCAAGTGCTTTGCTGTGTGATGTTTGGACCTGCGGATGGACTTCAGCAATATTTGCATATACCGGGTTTTTAGTAACATGATGTCATTTTTTGTTTTGTTTCAACGGCTACTTTTTTGACAAATGGCACACACGGTAAGCCCGTATTTGTTTGTATTCTATGGACGCTATGCCCCTGATTGATAACACTTGGACAGTTACTCGTGCACCCAAAATACAAGACGGACTTTATAGAAAGAAACAGGAATCGTATACCAAATTTCTTGCAAGAATTGTCAGCAATGATATGTAGGAGAAACTGTGATATTTGGAACTAAAAACACATCAAAAGGACGATAGAAGGGAACATGAGCAACACCAATTTTACCGGAAACACTCACAAAACATCCGTCAACTAGTACTAGAAAGGAACAATATCATATCGTCGATTGGGACAGTTACACAATAGCTGAAAGGGAACACTATACAAACAAGGTTACCGCGAGCGGTATATAATACGCCCGTCACACATTGAATGAGCAGTTGTTTGTATGATTGAAATATATGAAGTATTTGTGAGTAATTGATATTAAAAGAGAAATCATTCAACATAACTGGTAGATCAATGAATGCAATACAACATCATGGAACGCATGCATCGCATTAATGAAACCAAGTGAAATAACTCCAGTAATTACGGTCGGATAATGGCGGTTATCAAACTTGTCCGTGGTTTCATGGTAATTAACCTTGTTGTGAAGTTTGAAGTTAATCCGTTAATAATTACTCGAGATATCGAGCGGACACTGTTTCGGCAAGTCCATAAAGGGGCATAACTCCACAAATTATGGTCGGATAATGGCGGTTATCGAACTTGTCCGAGGTTTCATGGTAATTAACCTTGTGGTGAAGTTTGAAGTTAATCCGTTAATAATTACTTGAGATATCGAGCGGACATCGTTCGCATGCCCGCCCGCCCGCTCACGTGATAACATAATACGTCTCCGTCTTCGACGGGCGTATAAAAATGAGAAAAAATAAAAGAAGCAGTCGAAACCAGGAAAACTCCAAACAATAGCAGAGTGAGGTGTGTGGGTGCACCAGCCTAAGTCATCTGTATGACCAACTACCAAAATTCACAATTTCGTTACATCGCTTATTGGAACATTGTTTGTGTACAAAGAAATAGAATGTCTGTGTATTTTTATCTTCGAAAATAGATGGATTCAGTCCGTGCTGACCTTTAGTTTACACATTTTGATTTATTCTGTTTGTCATTATTGGCAGGACGTGCTCNCCCCCCCCCCCCCCCTCCCGACGATTTCGAAGATTGTCCATGCCAACTACTTGTTTGTTAATAGCTTCACATCATGTTTACATGTACATGTTCAAATGCGATACAATTGGTATGCTTTGTACTACGATCACAGTAAATGCATTTAATTTAGTTCAATATGTTGTGAGTTGTTGTGAACTCCAGTAATAATAAATATATCTAAGAGTGTGTACATGTTTAAATATGACCCCCACTTGTGCCAATTGGGAAACAAACCTTCAATATTGTCATGGAAAATACATAACTATCCTCGAATGAAGGCATTTTTACGTACTCAACATTAGATTTTTTCATGAATGCACCCAAAATACGTTCAAATGGGGTTTGTGGGATGTCCCTTATTTCTTACATGTTTATACCACACAATTACATGCATCAAGATCACCCATGCAGATCGGGGTTTCTGAAAGGAAAACACCTGACGTTACCCACTACATGTATCGTAAGAGGCGACTAATGTGGGGAAACCCCTACAGAATTGGGGATATGCTTTTTTGCTCTCTACTTAGGGATATAAAAGCGACCATAATAAATCTGCTACACCAATTACGATATTTAGAATCTTTATATTTCTCTCTTCTTCTAACTACTGTTATATTTCCTATTGCCTTGCTTGGCAAACACCTCACTTTTGGCTTTAATGTTGAACATTCGCCAAGGTGTGGAAGGCAATGTGTTCTGTCCTCAGGTCGGGACATACCAAACCCCTTAAAATAGTAGTTGTGATTCCCTGCTTAACGTTCAGTATTTAGGG